AGGTGGGCAACCGTCTTCGGATCAGCTCTGATTAAACTTTAGGAGTGTTTCCTCGGTTATTTCTCTGGTGCTCATTTTCAAACAGTGAGGATGACATAAAGTTCCAGCAAACAATCCATCAACTACCAGAATGAGGAGGAATTAAAAGAAAAAGTGTTGCTCAATATCAATTGCTGGCCAAACAGCCAACAAGTTCCCTGTCCTTGCCTGTAGATGGCGGTCATTAGCAAGCCCACGCCTGTACATCCCACCTTTAAAAGCGGCATTAAGCTGGACCGGGGCAGCAGATCCCACTGACGTGCGGCAGGCTGGAAAACATGGTGGTGTTGGCAAGTAAAGCCACCGGGCCGGGGTAGAGGTTAACACTTGTTACTCCCCTTCATCGCCCTCTTTTCATGGAAAGTGCATCAGAAATTCCAACATGCCCGTGTGAAATACAGACAGCAACTCTTAAGGCCTCACAGCACAAGGTACTGCTCCTCACCCCCCCGACACACAGAGGAGCCTCAGAAATTACACGCCGCTCAGAATTTACACGCTCCCGAACAATGTTTTGAGTTTTGCATGAGCAACCCACGACAGTTGGTCAACACCCTTTTGGGGAAACCTGCTATTCATAGAGACACCGGTGTTTGTTCTGAAAAAAGAGAAGGAATTTCATTCTTTTAAAATCTATTGCTGTTATCAAAATAGAATTTGCTATTAAAAAACTGTTGTCACATATTTCTCCAACAATGTAGCCAGGATTTGTTTGCATTTATATATACTTGAGTCAATTATGTGTTAAGATGCCACACAAGCATGAGTGGGCAGACAATATACAGTATGCATCTTTGTGATAATCCCCCTCCGCAGCCCAGTCACAAGCCAAGTATGAAGTGCTACTGCCTGGTAGCACAAAGCGCAACGTGAAACTCATGTGACTGTATTAACCTTTCAGACCTAATCTCCTGCAGTCACGAATGAGAGGAGGAGGGAGAAAAACCGAGAGATGAAAGTTCGAGAGAATTCCAAAAGGCACGCCAAAAGGACTGCACCGAGAGAGGGATATTCACATGTATTCTGTTGCTCCCCCGAGACTCCCCAAGTCTCGGCTCCTCTCCGTGGTTGGCTTTGACACGGAGAACAGAGACTCACGCGATATGGAGACATGCAGATTTGACAAGAATTGTCAAGTAAATCATACTGGAGGAAAGATCACTCTGTAGCACCCAATGGGGCTTCAAACGCCACATAAAAACCACAGAGAGCAACGCTGACATTTTCTTATACCAACTCTGACAGAGGGGTCTCCATTATTTTTTTTGCAGATAGTTTCATAGCTTTGAAAAGAGAGTCCCTGCTGAGGGCCGCGAAATATAATAGGCTGGTGGGTCAAGTAGTCTCTTCCACTAGAGGAGTTTGTACTTATGTCATGCTGGTTCGTCAACAGGAGACTCAATGGAGCCTGTGGTCGCCATCAGCTGACTTGGTTGAAAAGCACAATACAGTAAATATCTACACAAAATGGGGCCATGGAAACATTCCCAAAAAGAAGGTTTGGGACATACATCAGGATAAATTGGGTGAAAAAAGGACGAGATTGACTGTTATCAATCTGTAATCTCTGCCTGCACTGAATGAGGCAGCTCTAAATGCTAAATCGTTTTGGCCTATAAGTCTATTTTCCTCTGACCTTATCCTGAATGAATAGGGCTGTTTATGCTCAGCACAAATGCCTCCTTTCACGGTTTCTTCAGATGATGGTTTAAAGTATTCGGCATGACAATTTTGTTACAACAAAATCAAGCATTTGTTTTTAAAAGACTGACGGTGTAAAATTGGTCATATTAAGAAATCAGACCCACTTGGCCTGACTGATTATAAAAGGAATCTTGGGTTTACCAGCGCACTAATCTAGCCTGATTTATCGAGAGAAAGTGGTTGAGCTTGACTGATTTAAATTTACTTAGCAATTATTTGGGATTCTCAGTTAACTAAAGTGTCCCTAAAGCGTAGCTTTCAATCTGGAATCAGACGGTCATTGGTTTTGTGGGTAAAGAAACAAAGCAAATTTGACTTTGATCTGGAATATAATTTAAATTCAAAACATGCTTTATTGCTCTAGCAATGGTAAATAACTTTGGCTGTGTGTTTGATTTGAAATTATGTAATTTGATTATGTTCAATACTGCGGTATAAACTACCTAGTTCAATATTTGCATAAAACATTATTGGGGTTTTACCATAAAACAGTACTTTAAAATGTGATATACACTGCTATATGATTTATTAAATGATGTGCATAATAATGTAATTAATCACGATTAACCTAATGGAATTCATGCGATTCATCATAATCAAAATGTTTTATAATTGCACAGCACTTGATTCCTTTCTATAATTATCAGTTTTGTTGACAACAATCAGAGGAAGAACAAAATGCTCTTCTAGTCTCATATTTTCCCAGTGATGTGGGAGAAACTGATCCAATTAGCTTGACAAAACATCTTGAGAGCATATCAGACTCTAAATCAGTGCTTTAACCATGATTACCAAAGTACAGATATGTTATGTTGGGACAAGGTTGATGTTGATTTTTTTTTTTAAATGTTGATTTTTAGGAAACTGTAGTTTTTTCAACTCTCTGTTGCATTTTTTTTCTTTTTCTTTACATTGTGAACAAACATAACTTACACATATACTTAAAAACACCGTTGTATCCATGATCTCTGGCACGAGTTTTAGGATTCCTGGAATCAGCTAACACGGGATTAACTGGCTGTTAGTGACATTCCCTCTGATAGTGACATCCCTAAAGCATGAGTCCCTTTGTTTGTAAGAATTCAAACTTGTAAAATGATCTTTGATCATTTTTCCCCAGGCCTTTTTAAAGGTCTTTGAAGGTTTTTCTTTGTAAATTGTGTACTTTTTCACATGTGCAATCTTGTATCCAACCATAAGTGTATGTTGATCCTTTTTGGGTTTCTTTTATTGCTTTGTTTTCTTAGTCACGAAACAACAACCTTCATATCATTCAAGCATAAAAGGTCTGTCTTTTTCTTTAGTTGTATGAAAAGTTGAAATATAAGGTAATTTTACTCCAATGAGATAAAACTTTTGTATTGTTATTTTTTTTCTATTGAAGTTTTGTTATTTAAAAACTCAAATGGTGTTTAGTGCGTCTCTAAAAATGTTCTGAAAACTGGACAAGAGAAAAAGAAACAAGGCTAAGAAACGTTATCAATGTTAGATGAACAGTGTCCGAAAGTGATGTCCTTAAAAAATATGAGACCAAACTCAAAACATGAGATAAAGCATGTAGATCCAGCGATCCATCCTGGTCTCCATGGCAGAGAAGCTAACACTGAGACCATTTTTAATGAAAGGGAACATATAGAAACCGATTAGTAATTTCAAATGACAGAAGAACTGGGGTTAAAATCAATGACGACGGGTTTTATGGAGGGATGAAACCTCTCCAGAGCCTCGGCCTCAATGTTACTAAATGTGGCAGAATCAAAGAGTACAGGCGATCCACCCAAATATTGGCCGTCAAGCTTGTTATATTCTAACTCCTGCTTTTCCTAATGAACTGTATGTATTTTCCTTTGTGTCCACTCCCCCCATTTCCTGGCAATTTACAGAATAAATAAATGAGGCCTGTGCAAATATTTTTCACAAAGGACTATACATTGCGCTGCATTTTTTAAAATCTTTTCTTCTATCTATGGATCTGCAATCCACATACATCTGTACAGGCAATTCTATTCATTAGAGGAAAACACAGACACTCAAACCCACACTTTACTCGGAAATTTTCAGCACAGCCAGTTGAATCGTTATCTTGTACACTCAGGAATATTTAGTGACTGTAACCTTAATATGAATATAAGCAAACCACTTCATAGAAATGTATCATGGGGTTTTTCATTGTCTATGTCAAAACTCTGTGATTGACGCTGAATACTTGAAGTTCAGGGATCCTATATAACCGCTGTACTGGACTAGCATCCACAGCATCCACAACATAAACATGATCTTTATTACATATCATGGATTACATATATATGTGTGTATATATATATATATGTAATAAATACATAATAAATGTATACTAAAATAGAGAGAATACTACATTTCCAGATGCGTTGCAGCCCTGTTTTAAACTTTTATGTGTTATACCCAGATCTGCTCTCCCTACTTCTACGTCAAGCCACACTTGCAAACATGTACCATCGCACATGCACAAATCTCACAGTCCACCTATAATTGCTCCTCCAGAGTTCACTGTGTGTGTGTGACATGCCGCCGATGCTTCACCACAGCCCTTGTAAAAGTCTCAAAAGCATTTTACATCGAAGTGCTGCTTTATGTAGGGACACCTGGTGGTTCGACGAAACCTCGGAGCGGCAATTTCTAACATGGCAATGTCCGTTTTTTCACCCTCCCTCACTTCTTTGCCACCTCTTAACATCACACTCCCTTGGACAGGCCCAATTTACTGTCCAGGGATCCACAGCCTACGGACTCTGCCTGCGGTTTGTGGTTGAGCTCACACTCAGACTTTACGTTTGTACAGAACTTTTGGGGGGAAAGAAGGACCAAAGGAGCATATTCCTTGGAGAGACTTTGTATCTTTTTCATCCTCTGACAACATGAGATGCAGCACTTTAAAAGGATTCCTGGTGATTTTGCTAATGCAACAATGCACATCTGAAGGTAGGGTAGTGTGATGCAAATGCAGGCTTTTGACAACATCTTTTACATAGATCAAAATGCACCAATGGCTTCTGTAATGATTGTGTGCAATTTGTTGTTTTGAGTGGTAAAACAATGACTGGATGAGTGAGTGTAGGTATATCTAAATGAAGGGAGGCATAGAAACTATTGAAGTATCGTCGTGTCCTTTTCCTCATCAGTATTTACCGCAACTAGCAGGACTAAAACTAGATCAAAGGGCTTTTCTATTGACTGTGCCTACAACAAAACATCCAAATTGCTTGATACTTTCTTCTTAGGTGTATCTACCTCTACCCAGTCTCCAACTGAAGTCACCGACCAAGATGGCCAGACTTTACCCCGGGAGCAAGAGGTGTCTGCCGCTGAGGTGGTGCCAGTAGTTTCCCCTCCTAGCTTAAAGGATGTACAGCAGGCTGTGCAGGAGGCCTCGGAGCAGGTGGAGGGCCGTGGGGCAGAGGAAGTCTTAAAGGAGCTGCTGGAGAGGGTGGTAGAGGCAGCTCTTGGCAAAGCAGAAGGAGGGAGCGAAGAAAATGGCATGACAGTAGCTGAGGAGGATGTACAGGGAGCTCAAGTCGAGGAGAGTGTGGCTGAAGCTGTAGATGACGTTTTAGAGCAGCCCCTCGAGCATGGTGATACAGACAAAGAGGGAGAACCTGTAGGCTCTCAAGAGACAGAGGTAGTAGTAGAAAATGATACATTTGAAAATGGAGAGGAGAAAGGTGCTGTACAAGGAGAGGGTGACACAGCAGCTGGACTTGTGGAGGAGTCAACTGAAACTGTGGAGACTGAAGTCAGTGAAGAAGAGGGTTTGGATGTTGTTAAAGAATTACTAGGTTCTGAATTCAGTCAGGACGATACAGAAGGAGATTCAGAAGAAGCAGAAGGGGATTTAGAAGTTCAGGAAGAAGGGGATGAAGGCCAAAAAGAGCAGACTGTGTTGTCAGTAGAAAAAGCTGAAACAACAGCAATGGTGGAACCGGAAGAAGCTCCTGCTCCTGTGGAGGTAGCTGTGGATGTGCAGCCAAAACGACAAACCGTGAAAGAGTCTGACCCCATCCTGAGAGTAGTTGATGAAGAACAAATGGGAAATGACCAAGAACAAGAAGCGGCTCCAAAAGAAGAAACTCCAACCAACGCAAATCAGACTGATGCAACAGCACTGCCTTCAAATGATCATGAAATAAAAGCAACACAGCCCATTGAAAGAGAACAAGATGAAGACGAGGAAGGAATCGAGACAGAGGACACAGAAGGGCCAATAGAAGGAGATGGAGATCAACTTTTTGTCGAAGGAGGAACTCAAGAAGAGGTAGAAGAAGATGCAGATTTAACAGGAGAAACTGGAGATGTAAAGGTTGATGATGGCGTGACGAAAAACAATTCTGAGGTTTTGGTGAATGAGGGAGGTGGCAAGAAAGTTGGAGAGGATACAGTGGAGGATTCGCTTGGCAGTGATAAAGAGGATCAAGGTGAGATGTGTCTAATTCCAACAAAAAGAGTGACAAAAGTCTTTTAAACAACTAGTTATCTCAGTGCAACCAAAACATGATACAAGAAGAACCTTTTGATCTCCATACTTGAACTATTGTTCCTATAGCAAAATGGAGTAATGACTTGTTTAAGCATTTGTATATTGTGACAAACTCCATTCTTAATCATTACTGATTTACTGCACTTTCAGCCATGGAACACACATTTGTCAAAGTGTCATGTATTAGTCTTTGTTGAAGTAAATCAAGATGTATGCTGTTCCCTGTTCAATTCTGAGATGATGTCTAAAATCTTTTACACTCAAAAGATGCGCTTCACCTCACTCTCAGCACCAGCCCATCTATGCATTATTCTACATTCCATAGGTACACTTGACAAACCCTACACCATGGCCTCTAGGCTTAATTTTCATGTGTGTGTTACATACCAAACTCCTCTTCTAGAGATATTGGGGATCTCTGGCCCACTGCCTGAGAATGTTGCCGAGGACTCTACAGAGCAGAACCCTGAAATCCAGCCCCCCACGTCTAATCCACCCCCGGCTGAGGTAGAGAATCAAGAAAATACCCTTGGTCAAGAGAGTTCTGACCATGGCAATGAGCCCATCATCCCCACTCTTGGCATTTTGCCACATGACCCTGCCGTGGCCCTACCGACACGTGACGATTTGGAGAATGATGTTGTGGCTGGACTTGCTCAGACTGAAGGAGAGGAACCAGGGGAGGCCAATGAGCAGGTGGAAGATGTACCTGCAGCTAGAGGTAACACAGAAGGTAAAACGATGAGAAAAAAGATCAACCAGTAGTAATTAATGTGGTCACTTAGGGGTTTTTACAACCCCTAAGAGTTGCATGAAGTTCGTTCAATGGCAAGTTGTTGTTGTTTATGTTGTTCCATTGATAAAGTTGTACAATAGGCTAATCATGACACATATTCTAAGTTCTATCTGCAACAAATGATAGAGCATGAGTTTGATTCTTTAGTGGTTACCACTTTTTGCCTTCTCTCTACTGTGCCCATATAGAGACGAGTGACCAGGACCTGGAAGCATGGAAGATCGGTGCTATTTTTGCTTCAGTCTTCCTTGTTATAGAGACTGTTGTCATCATTGTCTATATCCTCAAATGCAGAACCCAAAAAAGGTCAGTGAACTTGTATTCTGTCTGCCCTAGATGCTAAAACAACTCAGTGTGGGGGGGTTTTCCACAATAGATGAGGCCTTGACAGAAATACATGCTGACTGGTCTGTGACATCATTTGTATGCGACACAAGCTGAGTAGATGCTAAAATTCTAAGTCTATGATGTGTATAGGTTTTGTAGAGCGTTTTTTAGCTGAGGGTTTCTGTGGTTTGGACTTGATGATCAAATCCAAAGGTTCACCTGACTTAGCACTGATGTTTCTCGCATTAGCTTAGAGCTAGCTGACTTTGCTGGCTAACTGCTGCTCCTAACTTGCTGAAAGGGGCTGTGGATGTATAAATGCTTAAGGAAATAAGACAGTTGTAATTTTTGACATTGGTGGAAGTGGCAGTAAGTACCATTCTGATAAATCCTTTGCTGAAACTTCACTTTAAACAGAGCAATAAAATCTAAACTGGATTTGAATGGCGATAGACTGTTAGATCAGAACGGTAAAGATTACAGGGTCAACTAAACTGACAATTTAATCAAATATTGCATTTTATATATTTTCATTTATGCACTTAAGAATTGTGGTCTGTTTATTCATAAAGAGAGCTTGCCAACTAGAGCTGGCTTTCACCCCAGTTGTTGTGATGTCAGCACTCACAGCTTGTGTCCAATCGTAATCAAAGTTAACCCCAATCAATTCAGGAGTCATGCCAAATGCAATCTGGGTGGGTGGGATTCTGTGTTAAGCAGAGAACTCTGTCCTCTGTGTGTTTTCCTCTTTCACAGACACTCAGTGAGAAACACCATTCATTCAAAATGTTGTTTCTATGCGCCTAGTGTTCTAATGGCATCCAATTTTTCTTTATTGCTATTTAACTTCCAGCCAATGTTATAGCCAAGATTATTTCTCGTTGCCTGCTTTTTAATAAGATTTTGGAAAGCCTAGCTGTATTTTATATCCAACAGTCAAAAACAAATATTTCCACTGCAAACCATTTTTTTTTTCGAAAAGCAGACTGTTTTATGTTTACTTTTCATGAGTAAGAAAGTAGAAAAATTATTTGTATGCATTCACAGTAATCTGCCACATCCAAGTGCTTCTCCCCTAATATCTGAAATAAGCCATCTGACTGTTATGTGTAGCACCAACAGGCCTACACTCACAGATGGGGCTCACAGCAGTGCTGGTACATGATTGCTTCTGATGTTACCCAAGCTGCAGCTAACATTTCAATACTGACAGATGATGAAATGAAGAGACTGTACTCTCTATTGATTCCATATTTCCCCTTTATATGCACAAAATTGAGTTGTCTGAGTGCAAGAACATGCTTTTGTTGTTTTTTTAACCCCGTTCTGAAAACCTTCTCCCACCGAAGACAATATAATAGTTCATTAATGGAAGGGCAATGGTGTGATAATACAGTAATATTGCAGTGATAAAGGAACATTGTTCACATGTTTATGTGTGCGCAGTTCCCTGGACCTGCAGCGGACATGTGAAGAAGGGTGTGTTGAACCAGAGGCGGCCACAGGGGGTGATTGCAGTGATGACACTTTGCCTGTGGGCAACACTCAACAGTACGTACCCACTTTAGACTATCTGTAGAGGTTACAAAGTAAGAATATGTTTGAACATTCAGATGGATTTAAGAGTGTGAGCAAGTTTTGTAACTATTGAGTTGAATCTGAGTTACTTAATGTCTTTAAAAACATGAAGATGTCCCTATGCGCATTCATCAGATATCATCATAGATTGCCTTTAGTTAAAAAAAAGAAACAACAGCAAAATAAAACAACTCAGATACTGTATGTCTATCTCTCTGCCAGTTAACTTCCTGCAGTGTGATTTTCTGCCAGCTTCAAATCAATCCTTTAGTATCAGCCCCTTTGCTGAATGTTAGACCTTCCACCCATCAGCTGACCAAATGTCATGCACTGACCTGTAGACCTGCACTTCATAAAAAACTACCAGTTATGTGCTTCTCAGCTGATTACCTCCGGGCTAGTTTGTAGTCTATGTGCTCACTGTGTCACATGAACGAGTGAGAATGTGAACCCAGAGCCTCCCAGAGTAATATTAGGATTTTTCTTAATCAGACTAGCCAACTGGGATCAGCCATAAACCAGAAGTGCATGTGTGTATGTGCATGTGTGGTTACTTGGAATGACCATGTGAAAATATGTGGTTATAATTTGTGGACAAAATTGGGGGAAAAACTTTTAGAACTTAAGGGACTTAATAAAATTGAGTACATTAAAATGAAGTAATATAAGAGGTTTAATGCAGTTCTGGGCTCGATGTTTTTATTTATAAGCTATCAATTTCAAAACTATAATCTTTTTCTCTGTAACATGTTAAAATTCTCTTTTGATTTTGGTTAAACTAACCTAATAGCATCAGTATCAAAAGCTAAAGGGAAAATGTATTTTTTTCAGAGCAGTGCATTTTAGTGGAATAAAATCATTGAAGAAATTATGCAAACAGCACTTTGAATTTGAATGCCGCTAATAGTAACTTTGAGTGGTGCATGAGTGTGTTTGAAGTTGTGTGTAGTGCTTATGCACTTTCAGTGTCTGACCCCTAATAGATCTATGCGCTCATTAGATTACTTTAACTATCCCAAGCCAAGTGAACAGCTACTCAGAAGAGCAATTTTTCCACTTTGTAAAATGGCTCAAACCTTGATATTTCGTTGTGGCTATTGGGGCACCTTATCCACAATGGAGTGTTTGTTTTCTAGTATTTGAGGTACTTTAGATGGTGAAAATAAATGGCCCCTGTCTGAGTACTTAGACTTTGTTTACACTCACATTTCTCAGCCAAATGCTGTGGTTCCTCCTCATATGTCACTATAACAACACAACATAATGGAATAAGATGTTAACACATGGGGCTACCTGTTCTCTAGCCAACATGCCGTCCTTTGGATAACAAGTTGTCATAATCTCAAGAAAAGGGGAGTATCAAAAAAAGAACACTTTGCAGTCACAAAATTAACTATGTACATGCCAGTAAGTACAATTAGGATAATAAAATTGGGTACAGTGACTGCTCAGCAGGTGATTTCCTGGTTCAAAAGCTCAACTCCATATTCCAAGAGGAGCTTTCTCTCCATGCTGCCATGTTGACCAATGACCCCATATATTGCTTATTGGAGCAGCTGAGTGAATGTACTTAGTTTGTTTCCACTATTGGACTGGATAATATGTTTCCATGGATAGAAGTTAATGAAACAGCTTGGATTGGAACAGAAGGTATCATTACTCACACTGTGCAGCTTCATATAATTTGACTTTACACACACTATTTCATTGTCCTCCGTGGTCAGTTTTTGAACTTTAAAATCGCTGTAGCTCCCTTTGACCGATGCATAACCTCACACAGATAAGCTGAACCTGTAATCTCATTGCGGCAGATGCAGTAGCATTTTTGTGCAAGCAGACCATGGGAATGTCCCAGCACAAACAATGAACAGTAAACAAAATGTATACACCTGCCTTTTATAATCCTAAACCTTTTGAAAAGGCCCAAAGTAGGGACCCAAACATGGACTTTGCGTATTAAGAATGTGCAGAAAAATGTACAGATATACAGTTCTGTTGTGTTAGACAACAACCAACCTCAATCTGTACTAACTTTTAAATAAAAAGTTTTGTTATATGTCATGATCTTAAACCTTTTAAGATGCCAAACTTCAGCTTGCACCGAAATTCCCCTCTTATCTAAAACTTGACAGGTTAGATGTGATTTCCTTTAGGGGTAACTGACTGGAGTATGTCTAACAATGTAACCCGCTTGTAATTTCTCCACCATCTGAGTTGATCTATGTATATTTAAGTGTGTCATAACTTCCCAGTGTGTCTCATTTCAGCTCTTTGTAAGCTTCTCCATCTGGCGTGGAAGTCATGAAAGAAAAGAGCCTTCCAGTGAGATCATTAGCATTTGCTCGCTGCGGGATATTCAGCGGCAATTAAACAACATTATAAACACACTGAATTCCTCTGTGTTTTACCTTCACCTTAGAGGGTCCCAAGACGAGATGACAGTCTTTGTTATCCTCTTAAAATAAAAAGGGATCTCGATCTAATTAGTTTAAAATCCCTTACTATTGTTTGTGGTTGTACTCACTGTCAGTTATTTCTCTCATCATACACCCATTGTTTTCTCTTTTTTTCCAAGTCATCCATTGAAATGATTAAATATCTGCCAACTGACCGATTGTTCTTTCTGCTAGGATAGCCATGCTTAACTCGTCCGATGCAGCTCCAGCCAAAGAAAGGGAGCGGCATAAAGATGAGCATCCGATAGCAATGTCAGACCTCCTGCCCAGCTCCAATGAGGAAGGGGCTGAAACCGGACCAGGTTCAGACTCCTCATCAGATCTCAAAACCTCCATATAGTGTATGATTGTGCTTGGGGTCTAACCCCTAAGTCTGTGCTTACTGTATTTAAATAGACCTTCCCAAAAAGCCACTTTCAAATCTTAGTTGACCTACTGTACATACTCTACGAATCAAATTAAATTAAACAACAGGAACACAATCTGAAACTAACTGCCTTAAATTCCAGCTGTTCTGACAAGTGTAAATGTATCACAATTATATCCGGTGTGTATAACCGTCTGTCTACCTGAAAGACAAAAAGAGCTGTAATACTTTCAGCATGTATGAATGAAGGGGTGTTTCTAGATTGATATATACTCCGTACATGTGCGAGTGTGTCCATGTAATAAAGCTGTCAAGTGTGTAGTTTGATGTCTGTAAAGTCTTTAGGCTGCAATGGAATTGCTAAGGAATGCTTTTCATGCTGACCACATCAGTGATGCCAGGCTAAGCTGCTGAAAACACTGTATAAAGGGCAGCGTGGTGATGAAATAAATTCTTAAACACAAGCCATATTAAAAAAAGAAGGATTTCAAGGACTTGAGGCAGAGCTTCAAACCTGATTTGGTTTGTACTCACATTAACTCTTGATGTTTGTGTTATTAATTTCGGATTTGAGTATTAAAATGAGAATCTTTAATGGGTTTCTTCCTTTGTTCTTCTTGGTATGGGTTTTGCTTTATCTTTCCCTTAATCACCTGTCTACCCACTTGCATAACCAGCTGTTGCTGTTACTCAGTTATATTTTCTCAAATGTGAGTTAGACATGACTGCTATCTCACAGGCTTTTCTGTGGCTGATCACGCAGACCCGTTTCCTTTGAGCGAAAATCACAAGGCATACACATTCTACTACCCTCAAGTGTTGTGTCGTCCTCTGTGTGTGCCGCTGCCTTTGTGCATGAGTGCGAACGTGCTTACACAAGCCCCGCAGGAGGTCCGGTCATGTGCTCGATTGCTATTTAAGAATGGAGAGGGAGACGGGCCGGCTCTTGGGGGGGCTACGGTTTTGCACACAGAGGAGCAGCATGCATGGTCAGAGGTAAGGCACTGCGTTCACATCGATCACCTCTAACACGGCAAGTTGGAAAACGCTCCTAAAGCTCAACTCAAGAAGCTGCTTTGATGTCGTTACACTAATGAGAGATGCCAAGCGAGTTATTTCATGTGATGGGGCCATTTTATTGCTTTAGTCTCGTCCCAGTTTTATTGGATCATCACCCTAAAAAGGCATTTCCCAAACTTCAGTAGTTAGGCAAATTGTGATACAAAAATCTAAAAGAAATGATCATTTAAGGCCTTCCTTGTAAGAAACTTTTAAGGGTTGTTGCCAATAAGGGCATCCTTAAAAGTCAAACTTAATGGTTGTAATTTTGGAACAACTGTGTTTTAAAAAAATGCATGTTAACTGTGGATTTTGCACTGTTTTGTCTTCGTTTTACCCACATGTTCTGGGATGAATCTGGTCCCTGAAACCTATTTTAAAAAAATGGAAGAACATGAAAAATCCTCTGGTCTGTGGTTTCCTCTCATCCTCACACATTGAATAAAATACCTCCTGCTGTTTCTCTTCTCCCCTGGTTGCGCTCAGCATATGGAGAGGGGGTCTCCTGGTGGTGGCCTTTTGTGCCAGCCTATCGCTAGCCCAGTTCCCCCGGGAGTGCGTCACCGTGGCCGGGCTGCAGAGCGGCCAGTGCTGTCCGTCCCCTACCGGGGTGGCGGGGGACGAGTGCGGCGCCAGCACGGGGAGAGGCCAGTGCGTCTCCATTGCCGCCGACAGCCGTCGGCACGGGCCGCAGTACCCCTACGCCGGGCGTGACGACAGAGAGAGGTGGCCTTTGAGATATTTCAACCGCACCTGCCAGTGCAATGGGAATTTCACCGGCTACAACTGTGGACGATGCAGGCATGGGATGAGTGGACCGAACTGTGACCAGAGAATCTCAGTGGGTAAGAAAAACTGAAGCTGCTTGGACTAACAGGTTCAAGAAAACTGTTTCCTATTGTCTTTATTTAACATTTGAAAGCCTTACATCACCAGAGAAGTTAAGGTCACATCTATGTATGTGTATGGGAAGTTTTTGTAATCAAAGCTTTAATGGTATTTTTCTCTTTACCCATTTAAACCAGTCACTCTCTTGACATCTTGTACATGTTAAACTCACTCTAGTGAGGAGAAATATCATGCAGATGAGCACAGCTGAGAAGCAAGCTTTTGTGAACGCCTTGGACCAAGCAAAGAGGACTGTTCACCCTGACCTGGTCATTTGCACGAGAAGGTACATAAGCGCCACACTGATTTCAAATGAGGATGGATTTTAGGGATAGGGATAGACAACTTTTGCTCTTGTTTGGACATTAAGATTTTGTTTTTTAATTAGATAAATTCATTATAAAGCTATGCAGCACAGATTTCCATCCAAATTCTTTTCTTTTTTTTTTGTTTACTGCCAGCAACGTCATTAAAATTTCTTGTGAAAGCTTTTCTGTTTTAGCTGCAGGATGGATGTGCAAATTAGGTAGGAGCAAAGGGACTTATAATCTTCTAAGTAACACTAGGCCTACATAAATCTGTGAATAACCTCCTTCCAAATCAGCTGAGGATAGTAGTAGATTAATTTTAAAGCAGTTATAACCTGGAGGTACAGAAACCCATTTAACCTCCTAATAAAAAAAAATTACTTTCTCCTGTATGCCCTGGCGTTTAGCTACAAGGCACACGTTTCAATCCAAGTTTCCTTTGGCAGCTACATCGAGGAAGAAAAATGTATATACATCCCTTTCCTTCCAATGCCTCTCGTCACCTATAATTAATCAGGGCGACTTTGGGGGATAGATTGGCTAATTTGCAGCAGTGTCCAAAGTATGGAATAAAAGAGAAACATTCCGTCCTTATCTCTAGGTACCAGGAGGTGTATGGGCCAGATGGTAACACCCCCCAGTTTGAGAACATCACCATTTACAACTACTTTGTTTGGACGCACTACTACTCAGTCAGCAAGACATACCTCGGTCCGGGCCAGACGAGCTTTGGAGGCGTGGACTTTTCCCACGAGGGCCCGGGCTTTGTCACCTGGCATCGTTTCCATCTGCTGCAGCTGGAAAGAGACATGCAGGTGAGTGGAGAGAAATTATGGAGAAGGAAGGTTGGAACGAGAAAAGAACATGGGCATCCGGTCTGTAAGATGGTAAAGTGTGGAGACGAAAGAGCAGGGGTTGGAAGAGTCTATAAATTACTGTAGACTTGAAAGTCCTATAGTGGGTGGTGGGGTGGTTAGTACCATCGCCTTACAGCGAGAGGGTTATGGGTTTGAGTCCCCAGGGGAACCAGGACCTTTCTGTGTGTAGTTTGAATGTTCTCCCTGCATCTGCGTTCGCTCTGGGTTCTCTGGCTTCCTTCCACTGTCAAGAAACCTGCATGTTAGGTTGATTGTACATTCCAAATTGCCTTTAGGAGTGAGTGCGAGTGAGTATTCCCCATTTGGGAATAAGCGGTTACGAAAATGGATGGATGGAAGTTATCTAGCAGGAGAAAGAAGTAGCCAACAGGGATGTTTATTAATTAAGCTTACTTTGATATAGTGTACATTTAGTCAAACCACCTTTCGCCTCGCAGGACATGCTGGGGGATCCCACCTTTGCCCTGCCCTACTGGAACTTTGCCATCGGAGGCAGCGACTGTGACATCTGCACCGACGACCTCCTGGGAGCCAGGAGCTCATTCGACATGAACTCCATCAGCCCCAACTCTGTGTTCTCTCAGTGGAGGGTCATCTGCGAGAGTGTGGAGGACTACGACTCCTTGGGCACCATCTGCAACAGTAATGACAGCTACACAAATACTCATTATTCCTCGCTGCTAAGTCGGCTGGTGCGGCTGGTGTACCACATCGTCTCAGCTGCATTAGAAAAAGAGGGCAAGGAGCTCGTAAAGAGAACATGTAGAACATAAGCTGCTATAAATAATACCTCGCAGCTGTTGTGCTCAATTCAGCACTGTTTGCTTATTAGTACTGTTTGTTTTGAAACTACCGGTTTTCTAGTAGTCAAACGAAGCCTTTTGGGTTGCTCGCCCTATCTGTTTTCTTCAGTCAGTGACTGAATTTCTCATTAAAAGACATCAGAGCTGACAGTAGTTTCTCCAAGTGCAGATTCAGAACGGGTCACGAGATTTTGAGCAGAATAAGGGTTATTCTTTTGCTTCAATATGTTAATGCTGCGTAAGCTGGGCAGGGTGATTAGATTTGTGAGGATTGGTCCTCCTTCCACACTGGCACCAGATTAACCCCAGCCTTTCGCAATTGTATTCAAACATACCAAGTTCATATGGTTCCTTCTTATAGGCTTAAATGGTGAAAGAATAAAGAAAATCTGTAATTGTTTTTCCATAGTACAATACCTTAAACACCTAAAGAGAGATGCTGCCTAGCTTCATGTTATGAAGAGAAAACATTGTTGAATAACTAGGTGAAATATGCAAGTTGGCCGATATAATCACGACAGGTCTGTTATTTCTTGGGCTAACAAGCAATAACTCCTTAAATGGAGTTTGGGAGGACCGGGTGCCTCATTTGTGCATTTGCTTGTTGAAGACAAGAATCTGGCAGTCTCCTGCTTCCTTTGATCTGAAGGAATAATCTTCAAACACAGAGACAACTCAGTTATGTACCCCCCCCCCCAACTGCTTGTGTGGAGGAGAGAATCCATAAAAAGAAAGACAGATCATGCATGCAAGAAAAAAAAAACTTCAGTCACAAGGTTCCCACTGGCTACTGTTGACTTTCATTTTAAAAATCGAACAACTTGAATGCCATCCTGTCTTGTCGCTAATAACTAATTCAAAGCAGAAACCTTCCCACGCAGTTTTCTGTGTTTCTTTGGAAATATAGGGCACATTCTGAGATCTGTTCTGGGTGTTCGCATTTCGTTTGAATCAGGATTCACTGGCTGTGACCTTGCGTGTTCATTTCATTAACAAGATTCGGAGAGCAGTCCCATCAGGAGGAACCCCGCGGGCAACGTGGCGCGGCCCATGGTGCAGAGGCTGCCGGAGCCTCAGGACGTGCTGGACTGTCTGGAGCTCAACACTTTCGACACTCCTCCGTATTACTCCACCTCCTCCGAGAGCTTCAGGAACACCATTGAAGGTTAGCAGCGCATAAGTTAGAGTTGGTTTTTCTCCCTCCCCTCAATCGATTAGAATGAGAATATCGAGGCTCGGTTGCTCAGAAAAATAAATGTGCCCAAGTTCTGCGTGACGGTATCGATACAAACCCAAGCCAGGAGCTCCCACTCCCTCAGTCCTCCTCCCACATGCACATATGGTTCGCTCCAACACGGCATTTGCTGTTCCTAATTTTGGTAAATCTGAGTTTTCGTTTTTATGTTCTATGCTCTGCTGGCTCTAGGCTACAGTGCCCCTCAGGGGATGTATGACCCCGTCATCCGCAGCCTCCACAACCTGGCCCACCTCTTTCTCAACGGGACAGGTGGACAGACCCATCTGTCACCCAACGATCCCATCTTTGTCTTGCTGCACACCTTCACCGACGCCGTTTTTGACGAGTGGCTCCGCAGACATCAACCGGGTACGCACTGAAAGATGCACATACCGGCAGAATTGACTTAGAATGATGAATACCGGGATAACAGTGGTGTTCCTCCGGCAGGTGAGATTGTTTACCCTGAGGAGAACGCCCCAATTGGACACAACCGAAGGTTCAACATGGTTCCCTTTTGGCCTCCTGTAACCAATGCTGAGATGTTTGTGAGCGCCCCGGACAGCCTTGGGTACTCATACGAGGTCCAGTGGCCAGGTGAGGAGCACAGAAAAAAAGAAACACTTGGAGAAAAATGAATTACTGAATGAATTACTCTCTAATGACCATCCTCCCTCCTCTTCCCTCCCATAGCCCGCGCCTTTACCTTGTCTGAGATCATAACTGTGGCCGTTGTCATGGCGGTGGTGGTGGTGGCGGTGCTGGGCGGCGTCATTGCCTGCGTAGTGCGAGCTCGTTCCAACAGCTCGGCAGAGGCCCTGGAGCCCCTGCTGGGAGAAACTTTCCGGCGTTACTCAGAGGACGACAGGAGGTTGGACAAATCACAGTCGGTCGTCTGATTCCACACCTTTCCGAGAGAGGCCTTGACATTTTCATGCATTTGTTTGACCTTTTTTTTTTTTTTTTTATTCGCCAGTTTCCTCCAATAAAGTTGAACTGGTTTTAAACCTAAGAAAATGTTGTGTTTTTTTTGTTGGTATTTGCCATGGTGAGTGCAACTGGCAAGGTTTAGAAGGTCTTTTGTAGCATCAGTGGGAAATCAAAGTGTAGCTTTTGGGGTCAGACTCACCAATGAAGAGATAATGAATAGATAAAGAGATGTTGATAAACCCTAAAGTCTCCTTAGCTCTTTCACAGAATGTTAAAATAGAAAAATTACAGTCGGCCTGCCCCCTTTTCCTGCTGCCAACTGCATCGTGCTACTATATATTAATGCAGACTGTGTTAAGCTATCTAGAAGATGAATGGATAACGTCGTACAGACAGTTTAATGCCTGTGTTCCCCCTCCTTTGAGTCTGTACTTTAACCAGGCCTGCCATTATGCAAACAGCAGGCATGGCTGTAAACAGACCACAGACTGGTCTTAATACGGGCCTTTTTACATGCAGGTGCAAATTTGTTTGTCTCAAGCCTGAGGCCATCTGGCAAATCACACCACTTAATGTTAATCTTCTAACCAGTGAGTCTGGTTAAATGAGAGCCAACCAGACATGCTCATTACAGTACAAACACACCATCATGTGGATTTGATGCATTACTGCAAATGCAGCAAAAGCACCCCAAAGCTCTCTCCCATTCATGGTCTTTTGAAATATGAGTCCTCAAAAAGTAAGCTCTTTAAAAAACCCTAAATTACTTTGCCATGAGTAATTATTCATTGAAACCCATAAAGATAAAGTTCAATAATCATCAAAAACCCTGACATTACTTCTGACACACTGTGAAGACTTGACACAACTATTAAAGACAACTGATTTGTGGTCATTTTACGATTGAATGCTTTCAACGGTTTAGTCAAAACTCCTTGTTTAGCTTGTTTTAATATGTAACTTGTAAGGTATACATAAATCGTAGCGTTAGGAGAGCTAAAGAGTTTTTCTGTGGCTCTGTAAATAATATTTGAAAGATATAACATAACAGTGCATAAAAAATAGTTTGTCCCGTTTGACCATTTTTGTTTTGCAGGCCAGCTTTTGCTTCAGATTCTGTCTGTGGGACCACCTGGCCTGGTGTAAATCTGCACAAAGGCGCACAGCATCCAGTATTTATGACCCCATGTTGCATTTGTGGTGGCTCAAAGCTTGCCAGAGCCTAAACATTATGTCCCCGGTAGTATCTCTGGGGATCTGGGACGCACATTCATGTAAATAATTCATTGGTACACATTGTGGCTTTTGATGCTCTGGATGGGCATCCCTTTTTAGAGGAAGAGGGGGAAAAAAAAAGCAGATTTGCGATTTCAATTTTCAGAGAAATTCTACAATGAATGTTTGTCTGTTGATACTGAAAACATGTGTGGATTTGCACTTTTTTCTCCCACATGCAGCGAGATAATTTAACGTCTGTTTGTTAATCTGCATAAAAATACCACTGCACAGTCAGGGTATTTTTTTAAAGTTAAAAAAGGTGGTTTTAAAACTCCCAAACTGCAGTGTGTAATGCTTCTAAACTCAAACTGCATGGCTAAGCGCAATTATTTCTTGCTTCGGGCTGTGACACTGAGCAAAATGAGCGACGTGTGGGCGCCTCTCTGCGAAGTTTCCAATCAGCCTGGTAGATTTAATGGTGACAGCCCTGCTTCAGTTTTGTTGAATGACACGGAGACAGTGGCATCTAAGTTCATTGCCGCAATTAACTGCAAGTCTTCACTCCGTGCAGCAATTATAGCAAATCCTCCTGTTGGGGATATTTTTGTCTTGCTTAAACGGTCCCAGGATTTTCAGACTCAGCACTGGACTGAATTAGCAGGGTTTGGCATTTTTGCAGCACAGGAGGATGTCTGGAAAAAGAGCCTCAAGGGAATGGAAGGATAAGAACAGGTTTATTTTTTTTAAATCCATCATGAGTTGGCTCTTCTGTCAGAACCACCAGGATACATAAGAAAAGACACAATACTTGATCCATGGAAATAGACACATACACAACAATCATTTGGCCATCACCACTCTCCTGAGGGAGGATTATTAGTGCTTTTCAAATATTCCCTTATGAAAGTCATTGTACCTCATTTAAAGCCGCTGCATAATCTATGCTGTGGGTTTTATAACCCTAGCCGTATTGTGTTCTGTCCGCATGGTGGGAAGGGCATGAGGTCAGAAAGGCGCTTCATCCTATATCCAGCTCCAAAAAAAGAAAACAAAACACAAAATAGAATTGACAATTTAAACTATATTAAGTATCCCTTTTAGGTAAATGCATGACATTTTATTAGATGAGTAAGAATGCCCCAATACTATGTTACCACCCTAAAATGCAAAACACCCTCCACAAACTGAAACCTTTTGCCATCTCTCTGTTTTCAAACCCTCTTCATACAAGCCGGGAAGCAATTGTTCATCTGGAGCAGGATAAACCGGACTATGATGGCTGGATTTCAATAAAGCTTGCAATGTGAACAGATGGCTTTGATTAATGCAGAAGCTTCAGACAGGATCTCCCGAGATGGCTCCTATTTCCTTGATGAGACATTTGTGAGCAAATGCATCGTTTGTCAAGCGGCCGACAGTTTCACTGACAGTTTGAGTGAAATTAAGAGAAGTAAATGTAATGTAGGTTTAGTCTACCATTGTTTTTCCAGTTCTGAATATTTATTTGCCCTAACTTTGGAGTTACATCTTTATCTCTTTCTAGAAAGCTTCCCCCCCCCCCTAAGATTAATCCCCCATTGCTCTCATAATTTACAGTTTGCAACTTCCCCAGTGTTAAACATTTGATCGTATTAACTCCACTAACCCTGACAAATTCTGAAAATGTATTAATCTTTCACAAAGACAGACGGAGAAGCATGAAATCTAGCAACAGCATGCATAACTCCAACACCAGATCACGTCCAAGGCTGCTCATTCATGTTTAAAACGGATTAACTGGCTGAGACTCGACTGTTACTATATATTTTCATCATTAAAACATGAGATGTCCTATTTATAGATAATGCTCGGAAAATGTCAAATATGTTCAGTGATTTATTGAAAAATGTACAGATACATCAGAGCATCAGTCAAAAACTGTTTGTACAACTTAAAAGTCAGTATTTGGTATGGTCACCTTTATCGTTCATCATTGCCTGCACTCGCTTAGTTGTGTTTTTTCTACCCACTTCATGAAGTTGTTTCAAAGAATGGTTCTCAAATGGTCAGACTCAAAACATCAGGCTGAGAATAAGTGAGAAGCAGCCAACATACAAAAGAAAACACTTTCAAAGACCTTCTTTCAAAGACCTTCTTTTTAAGTGCATTAAAGCCTTCTGCATTAAAACCAGAAAGATAAGAACAAAATCTGACTCCAGGGAGGCAACATTTTATTAATACCCGAGATGTGGACTGAAATGTTGCATATTGTTGCATTTATTTTACAATACTGATGTCATTTTACAAAGAATGTTTAACTGATTAAAAATTAACATGCCGTGCATTCAGTTTCAATGCAACATAGCGCCGAACAAACACAGCGGCTATGATGACTACGACAATAAGCCTTACAGAGTCCTTTTTCCCTTAATATCTTAATAATTAATAACATAGAAGCCTGTATGAGAAATTTCTAACATCGACCTTAGTCACATGACGTTAAAATGTGAGCAAGTGAAGTCACTTGTTCAAATTTGGTTTCTTTTAACATTTACTGTCACCTGGAGCATTTATAAAGTTTTTTTTTCTTTTAGCACAGCCTTTTCTATTTAAAGAGTCCATTTCCAGGGATTACATTTAATCAAATGATGAAAACAGCATGACATGTAAATAAATTAATATAAAACAGGTATCAGGAGTTTTCTGAATACAGAATGGACATAACGCATTTAAGAATACTTCAAGCAATTAGTAAGCCTGACAGTGTAATACTATGAAAACACGACAAAGCAAGAAAAAGAGTTTATAACTGATAATGAGCAGCTGCTTTAAACAGATGTACCAAAATTAATTTTCACCACTCTATCTGCCTCACGTGAGGGGGTGATTAGTACTAACCCTAAACACATCATGTAAGACAATAATGACACATCTTTAATGATTACAGCATGAGAACGTAAAGACAAATTAAACAGGCTGTCAAACAAATGTCCCGCTAAAACCTTGTTGCCACATAAATGATTGGCAGAAGCACTTGGCATGTTTTTGGTCTTAGGAGTTTCTTACAGTAAGTAACTCTGAACGAACAGGAGTTAAGGGACCACGGAAATACTGCACATATGAAAATGTTTCTATAAATACAGTGTCCATAATCATGAGTTTGAATCTGAGTATTCAAAAGAAAATGTACTTCCTGCTTTTGATTCTTGGAGCATCTCCTGTGTGAAAATCCTTTTTAGTGAGTGTTTTGTTCCTTCATGACAATGAAATGAAGACTTCTATCACATAAGCAGATGACATTTAATAAAAACCTGCCTGTATACGCACCCGAGCACTCTTTTGAGGTTAGAGGTAACTTCCAAAAATAAATAAAAAAAACAGATAAAAAACAGATAAACCCAGGCATTCAGAAACCAGAGACCATTCAGTAACGTCTTCAGGAGACCACGGTGAGAACCACAGTTCCTTTGGTCTTTTTCAGGATGTCCACAGCTTCGGCGTGGGTCACTCCCTCCAGGCAGTGCCCGTTAACGGCAATGATCTGATCGCCGCGTTTTAGTCTGCCGTCCTCTATGGCCGCCCCCTGCACAGCACAGGGTCCACCGCCACGAAGAGAAAAGTACCGGTTAAAAACACAAAATACATTTGGTATGGGACTAAATGATGTTTGGCAAATCACTTATCCTGGCCTGAAATAATATCGCTTTTGTCTCGGAGTGTTCACCAATAGTGGATAATGCTTTCACTTCCTACTTTTTTGTCTTCTTTGACAATTAGAAGCAAAGCAAAGGGAAAGTCTTAGTCTGAGTTAATTGATAGTCAGACACAGGGAAGGAGGCAGTGAGGTCTAAATGCTGCCTGGCCGACGTACTTTGTTTTGAGTGGATAAAAAGCAACGCCACAATATATTATGAAAAGTCACAAGTGACGATCCCCGACAGGGGTCTTGTCTTTCTTACCTTGGCGAAAATAGTTTTGATGTAGATCGGCAGGTTTCCGTGAGGGCTACCAAACCCACCCACAATACTGAAGCCTAAGCCTGCCGGGCCTCTCTCCAGAGCCACAGTCTTATACGAGCGAGGACTGTGGGAAGCAGAAAGTAACGGGCGTTTATTACTGAACTGGCATGCATGCTTGTTTTTTGCTTGTTTCAAAGGTCAAACCGGAAAAGAACCAAATAGAAATTATAGAGCCCGGCCAGACCCTCACCAGAGATTGTTGTGAGAGCAGGTTAGGCCGCTGGGTTGGGCTGATGGTGGAATGTGCACACCACTACGATCCTGTGAGCTGGATCCTTCTAAACCCGCTGCCACCTGGTCACAGACACAGAAAGACGCACAGCGATGTGAAAGCTAGAGTGGGGAAAATTGGCGCTCCGTTGGTATTTACATTTCCATCTATCAGGAGGGTATCTGATTGGTTCCCACTGTTTGCAATGCATGACAACGATGATTAGTCAGATCTGGGGGTTACATGCGGAGACAGATGGAGGCAGCATGGATCCACACAAGAATTGTGGCACAAATTGTATGCTACCCTCCTGCCATGTTCATACAACGGAGAAAATAAAACATAAGAGTGGTGTACTACTTCAAGTCCATGTGAGTTTAAATGAAAAAACACTGAGTTGATTTTCTTTGTTTTCTGTTTAGATCACTGACAAAGTGGAAAATTTGTCTTTTTACCGCTTATCATTAAGTATGTCTGTCCCAGCTGCAATTAAGGAGACCTGTGCAGCAGAAATTCTTGAGGAAATACACAGTTTTACCAAATAAATCAGGACTGTGTAATAAGAAAGTTGTTCATTTATTTTCAAATCTCAAAAGCCAGTGCTTCATTTGACACCTCCAAAGCTGAAAGTGAATAATTTTTTCTGTTTCATGAGAAATGTAGGCCCAGCTTGAATTCAGTGTCTCACAGCTGAGGGAGTGTGTTACAGCTCATTAGGTTAATAGATCAGTCACATGATCAGGAACGAAACAAAGAGAACCTTAGAGAAGCAAAGTCTCTCAGAAGTAAACATGGTCAGAGATTCAACAAACCTTTATCTCCAAATTGTATGTAATTGTATGTAAAATTGCAAGAAAATTTGAATTACTATATATTTGATATTCCTTTTCGGACTGAAGACAAATCACTTTCCATGAACTACAATTTATCCCCGACAACGTGGATCCATCGAAAGTAATAGCACGAGTTCTTGGAGTTGTTTTCCATGCACAATCATATCTTGGTGAGTTTTTTCTAAAAGTAATAATGACCTAGAGGAATTGCTCGGGGAGACATCACTATCTCACTTTGACAGTGCAGGAGGGAAGCAAATAAATAAATAAATAAACTGCTGACGTTATCACACAGAAACTTTCTGCCTAACAGCCATCACGCCATGACTGTGGCACGTGTCACTGTCGCGCACTACCTGCAGACTGACGGCGCCAGTGGCGTTCTTCAGCAGGGCTCCGGCGCGGTCGTGAGTCATTCCCTCAGTGGGCACATCATTGATGCTGAGGATCATGTCTCCTGTCTGAACGACACACGTGCGCACGCACACAAACACACACAAACACACACAAACACAAACACATGGAAACTTTTACTTTCTCGCTTCTTCGAAAGGTGGATTTGATTGAATCAGTTTAACAAGTGCTCTAGCCTAACCCACTGCCACCATGTAGACAGCTCAGGGGGTCAAGGTATTGTCCCAAGATACTCTCCCGTTTTGCCAATAAGCATCACGGCTTGTGTTTATGTAGAAAACGAGAAGCAAGTCAACGGAGAACATTTCACTCTCAATCCTAAAAATCAAATGAAACAAAGACGAGTTGCCGCTACGAGATGACGAATACAAGCGGCGCTCACCTGTAATTGACGTGTTTTGGCAGCCGGTCCATTGGTATCCATGGCAGCAATAAAAAGAGGTGCGTTGCCATGGGGACCGCCCACTCCTCCAGCAACAGTGATGCCCATGGAGTCACACAGACCCTGCGGTGGTACAACACATGCATTAGAATCTTTGTCAGTTAATAATTCCCAGTCACATGACTCATTCCGCACATGGTGCTGCAATCTGAACAAACCCAGGGACAAGTAAAGCTTGAATTTCTGAAATCAAAGGCACAAAGGCTCGGAAATGGCCCAATACTTTTCCATTTTAGAAATACAAAGCCATTTAAAAAATATAGTTTATAGCCTTTAATAGGCAATGAAGGTGATTTGAATCCTGGCCTCTCTATCTAAAGTTTGTATGAACCCCGTGTGTCAAGATGGCCACTTGTCAGCAATCATCCCCCATGAACATCTGTCCCACTTGTCTCTTTTCCCCGTCATACCCTGTCGACATTATTTTCAGCCTATTCAGCATGTTCTGTCACAGTTTGCCTGATTAGCTGTTCAGCAGGGTTTGGGAATCCATGATTTTTTCCACTTAGAGGGGTTTCTTTTTAAATTCTTGTCTCTGCCTCTTCCTGTCTGCTTCCACAGCCAACTGTTAGCCACACCAGGGGCCTTATCTCTGACTCACAAACTCCAAATGTGATCAACAATGGTGTGATAATAAGGCAATACAATTTTTTTTTCTGAATGGACCTTCGGGTTTGCTTGTTGAATGGTGATTCTAAAATGCAAATACAATTTGTACAGTTTTTAAACCTCTCCTTCACCCTGAATGGGGTTCATCAGTGGGTGGGATTCACTTCAGTAATTAGTTTAACATTAACTTAAAAATGTGTTTCTTAAAAATGTAAAAGAAGGAAAAAGCTGTTTAACCAAACAAATAAAAAGCTTCTGTTACAAAATATAAATAGACTGTTTGTTTTTATCCCTTACCCTTTGTATTATTACTTTTCTGATGTCAGGGCCTTGAGGTGCTGCAGGACGCAAAAGAGATGAAAATGAAACACTCTGCTCAGAGAATATTGTCAGAATTCAAGGTTTCAATCTTACGAGTGTTCAGGATTTCTACATTTCGTGGCAGCAAACGTCAGCACTTGCCATTGCTCCCTGCTCTGTTATTGGTCTCCCTCTGGTGGCTGAAGGACGCATCACATCCACTTGAGGGTGTCAGAGTGGAACAGTCAGAGTCTTCGCTCTGGATAAAACACAACTTAAAATACTCCTAGGTTCACAAAACACTTTAGTTAAAATCACACATGAGACTACTACCTCCACAGACTATAGCACGGTAGCTAGGCGGGAGAATTTCGCGCATCTGTGTAGAGCTATCATCGCATTGGTGGTTCAGTGGTAGAATTCTCGCCTGCCACGCGGGAGGCCCGGGTTCGATTCCCGGCCAATGCAACTACTCGTTTTTACCAAATATCCCTTTTAAAGCAATTCTATCTATCTATGTATAAGATAGACTTTACCAGGACAAACCTCCGGAATTTTTATATTCTTTCAATGTCTACTCCCCCCCCCCCACTGATTTACCCCAAACACTCCAATCAACCAATTTACCTGATTCCGCTGTGAATACTGCACACCAGCTTTGAAACGAGCTACTTCCAGGTGGACTGCTCCACTGCAGCTCTGAAAGCAAAGGGAGACATCACATATAAAGTGAGGGCATGAAAAATTCATAGGGCGCCTCTTATTCCCTCATACCCCTGCCAAAGGATGAGTTTGAATGAGTCACACCTGTAGAAGCCGCTGCGTGTGCTCCTGTGAGGCCGCACGGACATCCTCCCCGTTGATTGACAGAATCTGGTCGCCGAGCAATAACCTGCCATCTGAATCTGCGACGCCTCCTCGGATGATGTCCGACACAAAGATGCCCGTGTCATTACTGTCAGAAGCAAACAGAGGTCAAGTCATTCCAAGGCTAAAGAATTCCTTTTGTTGCCTGTCAAACTCTTCTGTTTTTTTTCTTTGCATGACATCCAGAAAGAATCCAAATTTCTATCAAGCATTTACAAGACGATGCAAATACTACAAGAGGAAGAGAGCAAACAAAAGGAGCATACATTTTAGCCGTAAACAGATTTTGTACGATACGTCTATCGGTGGATCCTTTGATTTTTGGAAGTATTTCATTTGGCGGTCAGTTTTCTCTCAAAACAGATTACCTTCAACCCAAACCTCACAAAAGTTGTGTAGAAGTGCTAAACTTGAGAGACCAATTATAGATTGTGCACATGATCCCTTTGCAAGGGCCAAAGACATAATGAACCACAATATCTCCTGAATCTCAGCTCTATTTGACCAGGAAAAGGTTACAAGGGCCTAAAACCTGATACACAAAGGCCAGCTGAGGGCTGTCCAAACAGGAAGTTGCTGCTAGACAAGCCCAGAGGTATATTCAGTGTTTTTTAGTCGGGGACACAACTAAAATACACCTCAATTGGGGGAATGAATAACAACTACTGTAGATGGGGGTGTCAACTATACAGTTATATGGATGCACGCATAATGTGAATAAGCAACCTATTTCTTAAACACAGGGAATATTCTCAGTTTGATGTAAACGGTTAATTATTTTGAGATTTTTCGCGTGATAGAGTTAATTTTTTCTTTCCTATGTCTTTCAAATGAATGAAACTATAAAAACAGTGGCAAAAATTTGACTAGGAACATTATTGTGGCCCTTATTGTTGCTCTTATTGTCCCTAAAGACAACAATAGTAGATCTAATCAGTTAAATGACACCTATGAACAAAACACTATGTCTATGAGAAAGGCCAATTTCATTATTATATATACATACCGAAAAACGTTGGCCCAGCTTTACTATATAATGACCCCTGCACTTGGTGAATTACAAATCAGACTCTTTCCACTCCATCTCAGCTTGGCAGAGGCATAAGGAAGAGATGCCCACACACTGTAAAGCCCTTTGCAGAAACCCCTCAATCACATCCCAAGATTTATGGTTACAACAAAGACTGTAATGATACTGGCACTACCTGACTTCAGGCTCTCTCACTGGACAGTTGGAATAGGCTCACTGCTTAGATGATCAACCCATTATGAGTTGGAAAAAGTAAGATGAGCTCTGTAAAGGTAGTTATATTATATCCTGTTCCTGTTAAGAGCGCTTTACTTCAAGTACATTCCTACCATTAATGACACAATTAAGATATTAAAAGAGCTTAAGAACTCATTAAGCTCAGCACAACACCTATTCTTGGACCTATGGCTGTGAACCCCACAGTACCTCACTCCACTCTGGCTGGTACATTTAATATGTGGAAAAAAATTGGGACTCATCTCACTGGTCAGCTGTACATTCAAAGGGATCAAGGGGTCCAGCAAAGTCTGCTCGGGCAGAGATAGAACTCAGCAGTTCATCAGCTCCATGAAAACTCTTTGAAAATACAACATACTGAAAAGCATGTGCCTTTTTAAAAATGGAAGCTTTAAAGCAGAAGCAGGAGAAAATCCTAAACACATCACTCAAACACAAAGGTGTACAGACTATTCCCAGAAGTATCACCCGTGGGTCCATGGAGGCCAACTTATTACACAGCCGTTGCCCCAAGCTATAATAGTACTGATGGAAAACAGGATATTTTCTTTCCTGTGAAAATGTTTTACCTTCTAGCACATGGAGCTGTAGCTTCTAAAGATAATAATAATTTAAAATAGAATTATGGCCAATAATGCAAGACAATCTCAGTAAAACATGCTATGAAATCTGACATTTTGAGATGCCAGGCGGACATTTGCTGCACACTACAGCAAAAGGATGGATTCAGAATACTTTTTAAGTTCAGGCAAACAGCAAAGACATGGCTGAGTTTTACAGTCCTACAACTCCCAACAAGAACCTCCCAGAACTGTGGAGAAGACCACAGGTCCTGTCAACAAATTTGTTTAAGGTCCGGGAAGCCTGGCCGCAGCTTGAAGGTAACAATAAATGGTGTTGGTGGCTATTTGATTAACCTTTGACCAACTGACAAAAAAACTGGCAAGCGCAATTTTTCAAATATATTCTCATGACCTCTTTTTTCTTCAGGCCAACGGCTTTCAAATGTTATTAACTTTTTTTATGGAATGTGACAAATTCATGGAGCAGGGTGGGGGGATCAAAAGTGAAATGAGGGGATTGGCTCTATTCTTTCAGGAAAAAAGAGAGCTACCTTAAGTAGGTATCCATTTGATGTAGTTTGTGTTAGATAATATGGGGAATTTAACATGGCAGTTAACTAATACAGATTATAAGTGAAAATACTGCTGAATTGGTTTTCTAGTTACTATATGATAATTATATTAATACATGAAAAAAACATTTGTAGGTATACAAAATATGTAGGTATAAATATGGTGAAAAGCTTGGACTGTCAGGTCAAAGCTCTTTTGCCTTGTAAACATTGTTTTAAAAAAGTACTTATAAAACTAAATTTGTGGAAGAAGATTTCAATGATGACAATGGGAGACACATTAACTACAAAACCTTTGTTTGTTCACATGACTACTAGAGTGATACATTTACTTTTTGCTTTGTCCAATCTGAAACTTTGGTTGTTTTCATTCACAAACATATTTATTGTTGAGAACCTAACAAGCTAGAGGCTTGACATATATCACAACAGTGGTGTGAACCTCTGGTCTCGAGGACCGCTCTCCAGCAGGTTTTAGATGTATTCCTGCCTCAACACAGAAGATTTCCGTGGTTTATTCACATAACTGCTAATGTTGCAGTTGTCGAAGAAAGGGAATCATGGAAAACCTGTGGGACAGCGCCCCTCGAGAACCAAAGTTGGACACGCCTGTATCAGAGCACGGTGCTGGTACCTCTTCCCCACGGTGCCGAACCCCAGTCCCTCTCCAGGACGGGGCCTGAGCTCCAGAGTGAAGACATCCCACAGGTCCTCCTCCCTGTAGGCTTCCTGGTGCCTGAAGATGCTCAGCCGGACGCGCTGGGTGGTGAGTCGCAGCACAGCGATGGCCTCGTCATGCGTGGCCTGCCGCAGGTCTATACCATTTACCTTGGGAGTAACAAGAGTAACAGCACAGCGTTCGTTCGTTCATTTGGTTTCCAGTTGATCAACGTAAATGTGACTCTTTCACGATTTGATAAATCAACATCCTTGACCATGTGGGCGATCGATTCAGCGTAGGTCACAGAGATTTCTGCAATTGACACGGACCAAAAGGATTGTTTATAATGCCTATAAAACTGAGGCCAAATGCATTAGTTTATTTGCAGTTGTGTGCAACTGCACAACAACGTTCCCCCCGGAGACGGCATGGCAGATACTGACAAACAGTGATACGCGACAACAAAGGAAGGATTCCAGTGACAGTTGTAAAGGAAGGGGGAAAAAAAGGACTGAGCAGCGTGAGCTGAATTGAAATGGGGCCTTTGAATGGCAGGAAGTCTGTATACGTCTATATTTTGTTTTGGTCTTGGGGCAGACGTCTGCAGGATCATTGTTGTCCTGTGATTTAATCTGAGGTGACGCTCCTACAGCATTCAAACGTGGCATCCACATTTTCCACCGTCACTGTTCTAATTTCTTTATTTCTTTTAAGCATATGAGTTGTTCATGTTTTGAATCTCAATTTTTACCATTGCTGTTGAAGGTGCATCGCCTGTGTGAAAGCATTCATGAGAATAAAGTGTTTGCCTCTGCTAGTTAACAAGCCCCTCTGTGTGTGGGGGAAGTCAAATAATTTAAGCGATGCACGAAAAACAAGTTTTAGTCCACTTTCCTCACCGTAGATGGACAGATGTGCACACATCTAATCAGATGGTCGAGAGGCTCATGTTCCTTTACCTAATAGGATACGATTATTGTTCACACCACATGAGTGCGAGAAATGAATGTGAAATGCTTATTTTAGGACTGTGATCCAAGATTAGAAATAGCGACTATTAGCATTAATTCTTATTTCTGAACTGAACTTCTGCAACATTACCTGCCAAATTAGCAAATATCGCTTTTAACATACCTCTTTAAAAAAAATACATATACACAGCTGTCGATAAAAAAAGACTAAAGCACTTTTTGCCTTTTTTCTTTATATAAAATTCTACATCCGAATCAACAAGCCTTTTAAAATCTGTTTTTAAAACAAGTTAATACTTCTGAAAAAATAAAAATGCTTACTCAGTGATATAAAGGCCATCAGGTGGTGCTATTCTGGCTTTAGTTCATATGTGAAGAACTGAGAGCAAAGTAAAGAACATTCTTATTCTTTCAAAACCGACGGAGCAAGAACAGCTCCTGAACACTGCTTTCTCTTCACACTTTCCCTTATTTATTTAATATCTTTATCAACTCTTACCAACAGAGATGTGCTCACATATGTTGCCTGTAGTAATGGGGTCAACAGTGATCTGTCATACTCTTAATTTGTCCTGCTGGTTTTAGATATTCCATATGGAACTAATGCTCTTTGAAATGGCAGAAATGAAACACAAACGTCACCGTAGGCCGTGACACATTCACCATCACATTATTCAGCCTGGAAAATGTGAGAACTACCTCCAGCACGAGTGTCATTCCCAGACTGAGTCACTGTTAGCGCCACTATCCTTAGTCATTGTTAAATCTCTCTCTTTACGCAGTCATTCAAACCTCCAGGGCCAGAACAGTCAAAGTTCAAACACACACACACACAAAAGATAAATGTAACAAGTCCCATAAGTCTGCGATAATGAGACTGCCCTCCATCAAAGTCACGGCATCCCTTGGCTAACTGCACCAGTTTACCCTGAGCAGCTGATCACAAGAGGTGGAGGTCCTCTGTTAGACACGTGCACCACAGACTTTGCACCATTTCCTCACTCCAGACTGATCTTTTTTATCTCGGTGTACAGTCCCTCCGGAATCTATCTAAGTCTTGCCATCAGCTACCCCACTTTGATGTGCATTTACAGGAGTTGTTGTCAGAGGATCTTATATCACTACTGTTTTAACACAGTGGAATAGAGACAAAAATAGTATACTGAAAGAATTTTCTCTAATATAGATATTGTAAATCATACATGTTAAACACGTATCTATCTATCTATCTATCTATCTATCTGTCTATCTATCTATCTATCTATCTATCTATCTATCTATCTATCTATCT